AGACGTCATGAGCTGGAGCTTCCTGACACGTCTGCTGGAGGAGATCCAGCACCACTCCACGTCGGTGGGGAAACTCTGGCTCACTGCGCTAGTTGTCTTCCGCATCGTACTGACTGCGGTGGGCGGCGAATCCATATACTATGATGAGCAGAGTAAGTTTGTCTGCAACTCGGGCCAGCCAGGATGTGAGAACGTCTGCTACGATGCCTTCGCGCCGCTCTCGCACGTGCGATTCTGGGTCTTTCAGATCATCCTGTCCGCCATGCCCTCTCTGCTCTATATGGGCTACGTGGCCAATAAGATCTCCCACAATGAGGAATTGCGGGGCGGCATGGGGGCCGGGGCTCCAGCCGCAAGTGACTCAGCAGGGGGCGGATACACTCAGCGCAGACCGAGAAAGATGTACTTTGGTGCACGGCAGCACCGGCCAGGACATGAGGGTGGGGAAGAGGAACGCGAGGACGACCCCATGATCTACGAAGTGCCTGAGATAGACAACACGCGTCGTGAGTTGGTGCCACCGCGACCCAAACCCAAAGTGCGCCATGATGGGCGCCGGCGTATACGAGACGATGGTCTGATGCGAGTGTATGTGCTACAGCTGCTGACGCGCTCCGCATTGGAGGCGGGCTTTCTGGCGGGACAGTACCTGTTGTACGGCTTTCGCGTGGAACCAATCTTCGTGTGCTCGGATAAACCCTGCCCACACCATGTAGACTGCTTCATCTCACGCCCCACCGAAAAGACCATCTTCCTCCGAATCATGTACGGTGTCAGCTGCCTTTGCCTGCTGCTAAACCTGTGGGAAATGATTCACCTCGGAGTGGGAACTCTCCGTGATGCACTGCGCAAACGAAACGAATCAGCCACCGATGATGAGTACCAGCTCGGCTTGCTTGTGGCAGGGGGTGTTTCTGTCGGAGTAGGTGGGCCTTCACTCAGCGAGGGGGAACCCGGAGGCGGAGTTGTGGGCGGCGTACGAGAAGCAGACTACGTTGGTTATCCCTTCTCCTGGAACACCCCTTCTGCGCCACCAGGTTACAACATCGTGGTGAAGCCCGAGACAATGCCGTACACAGACCTGAGCAATGCCAAGATGGCGTGCAAGCAGAACCGAGCCAACATCGCACAGGAGGAGCAGCAGCAGTACGGCTCCAATGAGGACAACTTCCCATCTGCAGGTGAGGCGAGACCGCCTCCCATCAACAAAGATGTGATACAGTTAGAGGCCGCGATTCAAGCCTATACCTTGCAGCACCATGCTAGCAATAACCACGACGAGATGAACAACACCAATGACATAGACGAGAAGCCTCAGAGCAACATCACCACAGCACCACAGAAGGAGCGAAAGCAACGGTCCAAGCATGGAAAATCTGGAAGCGCTGGGAGCAGCAGCAGCAGCAGCAAGTCAGGAGAAGGCAAACCATCTGTCTGGATCTGACATTTGCATGCACACCTGAACATTACACTCAGTGGTGCACACTATCATCCAATTCTGCAAGTTCTTTTAGACACAAAATGTCCTGTGTATCCCACAGATTACAAAGACTGCGCATACACGATTGGAAAAATGCTGTATATCTTTTTGAAGTGCTTTCAGTGCCTTAAGGAAACTCCAAGAATGAGATGGATTTTTTTTCTTACTATTTCTTGATCTTCCTAAAATAATCTTGTGCACTCAAGATTATGTTGAGCTCTAAGAACATTCCCTCATAATCCAGAAATACCCATCCGTTTTCAAAGTTGGAACTATTCAGTGAGTTGAGAAAGTCTTCCTATCGGATTCTTTCGGGAGAGTGATGACACTACAATTCGATTCCAAACCAGCTGTCTTCCTTTTTTTCCAGTGTTAAACAATAACTTTTGCATCACAATGCCAAGCTATATGCTATGATACACCAATGCTGTGGTGGTACACTGTGGTCTTCCAGACCCAACAAACAGTCCTGTGAAATAAGCTGTAAATCTACATTTACAAACACACAAACACATCCAGTGCAATTTTTTTCATAGCTATGGGTGTTTGAGGAAGCAGTACAGTGTCTTTCAGTTGTAGAGATTCTCATAGTTTTGAGATCTCTGTAGTATTTCTAGCCACCAAGACTTGGGATATTCCGTTGATGGATCCACTTCCTACTCTGTTCTTGTACTATCCCCTACTGGTGAAGAAAGCATTTGCAGTCTAGTCTCATCAGCCATATAAATATGTACAGGGTCCCCATGGTCCTGGAAATAACATGGATTTTTAAAAGTGTGATTTCCAGACCTGAAAAAATAGGAAATTAATAAAAATATATAAATAAATAAAAAAGGAAAGTAAATTAAATTAAAAGTAAATTCATTTCAGTGCTCAGTTTTCTTGGTTATTTCTTTAGATAGAAATTACTCTTTGTGAGTTCAGCCATTATGAAATTATAAAAAACTTTATCTAGTAATTGAATGATGAATCAATAAGTTAAGGGGGAAAATCATGGAAATTCATTGCTCATAAAGTGTGGGAATCCTGTACTTTTAGGTGCATATGAAATTAATTTTCTTTCAGACTGAATTGTCAGAAAGTCACTGTGTATTGTTGCTATTGCTCTAGTGAACATGTATTTATGGGAACATCCTCTGGTTCTAACAGACTTGATATAGCCAAACCAAGTAGCAGGTCTAACTTGGTTCAAATGGTGGTTGTGAGTTTAACAGTGACACTCTTCAGATCATGCTATGTAAATATCTAAGTTACACACAAACAGATTCACACACTGTGAAGAGTCTTCCATTCTCTCTTACTGCCACATTCCAACTTGTGAGACGTTTGCCTTTATGTAGGATGTTTCAATTTGTGACGATTGCCATGGGAGACCAAATACTGTTTGTCACAAAGACATCGAGCTACTATGCAGTCATGCAGACTGAGGAAAACACGCCATAGAACACCATTGTGTGTGCCTGCGTGTGTGCGCTTGCGTGTAGCTGAGGACGAGGCTGTGGAGGAGTGATTGCATGAGTGCATGTGACTAATATTTGATTAATGAATTAAAGAAAAGAAAAAACCCTTTACATATCAGCATTTCAGCAGTATTTATTGATGCTGAAGATTGTGGCATTAGATTTGTGGTTTCTAATCGAGACTTGACTTGTTTGTATTTTTAAACATCGATTTGGCTTCTTTTTTATTAGCTTTTTTAAGACATGGAATTCTATTCAACAGTGCCCATATGATTTATTACAAAATAGATTTTGTAGGATTTTTTATGATTTTGTTGCCTTTAATAGTAGCAAAACAAACTATGTGATGTAGTCAACCAGTGCAAATACATTTCCCAGTGTGCTCAATGAATCCTTTTTTTCATAGTCATAATCGAATACGAAAATAGGAATGTTTTAGGGGAATTTCCAAGGCGCTCTTTCCAATGGAAAACTCTAAACAAAAAAGATTTCTGCTATGTAACTACTTTGACCTTTTCTGTGTGGATGTGTGTTGGAGTTTGTAACAGCTGTATATGGGGGGGGGCAGTCATAACAGCAAGTATCTGCTTGATTTGGCCAAAGCATCGTTTATACATAAATTTGATGTTTAGTTTCGTGATATATTCACACACGATTTAATTCAAGGAAATTATTTTGGCATTTTTAGCAACACTTCCCATACAGTGAGCTGACTTAAAATGAGAATTTACTCGCCTATTCTAATACTGTATGAGTTTCTTTCTTGTGTTGAAACGATTTCAGGGTGAGTAAATGATGACAATTTTCATTTTTGGGTGAACTGTCACTTTAAGGGGTCAGGACAAAGATCCAAATATTACATGGATGGTTCACCTCAAAATATCTTTCTTTTGTGGAACACAAAAGAATTTATTTTTAAAAAGTTTTGACCATATAGTTAAGGTCAATGGGGTCGTGCTCTGTTGACCCAATTGACTTTCATTATAAGGACAACAGCTCTTCTTTTGTGTTTCACAGAATAAAGAAAGTCATACAGGTTTGGAAATACGAGGGTGAGTATAACATAATTTACATTTTCTGATGAACTATCCCTTTAAATAGTTAATTAGTGATTTTTTTTTTTTAGTTATTTATTGTTAGTTTTGTGCATAGTGTACATTTACGTGTATTAATTTAACAAATGATTCAAAAGCCAATTTATCAGCAGCAAACGGTATTAACCGTATTAACAAAACTGCTTGTTTTCATAAAATGTATCGTTCTTTGTTCTTTAAAGTTGTTTTGCAAAGACAGCTCATCAATGACTTTATCTAGATCACTAACTACAAACTTTTCAAAAGAATGGGCTTCCACTTCTTTTTTGTCCGTTGTAGTTTGATGGTACATTTTTATATATTACGGGCCCATCCATCAACATCTACTTTTATTCACACGCAGAGGAATTTCAGAAGGCACAAACTGCCAAGCTGTTCCATCATAACAAGCTCTAGTGACAACAAATGACCGCAAAAAGCCTTTCTACTGGCCAACTCACTCTCATCAGTCTAGCCCTGAATGTCTCAATGTTTATTCCCCTTCAAATGGAAAGAGTCAGCAGGAGTTTACTTTGTACAATATTTTGACAGAAGCAAATTAAGACTGGATCAAATGAGTCTAATAATAATAAATATTTTAAAGGTATATGTGCTGAAGATTCAAAGGAATATTTCACCCAGAAATAAATATTTTGACATCATTTACTCATGTCTAAATTCATGTTTTGGTATTGATTTTTTCTTTTTGATAATGTACCGTTTACTCTTTTTATTATAATTATAATGAATGGGGACTGGAGTTTTCAAAGAACTAAATTCACAATGAAAGTACAATAAAAGTAGTCCATATGACTCATGCACTATATTATATCTTCATAAGTCTTAGCTTTGAGTGACAAACAGCTATTTAAACTGTTATTCACTGAAACCTTCCCATCCAGTGAGCTTTTAATCACTGAAACTGTATCAGTAAATTTGAGAGAACAACAAGAAAAATTGTGTTTAAGTTGGGTTTAAAGGTAAAGGAAATAAAATCACACAAATTGATATGTCAAAGCATATTTTATTTACTTTACAGTGATTGCTGTAAAAGCCGTGCTCAGGTAGGGCATTCAAAATTGGCACATTTGAAATTTGCCACTATTGTCAGCTTTTACATCTCTTGTCTTCTTACTCTGAGTGACGCTAACCCATATCCATGCTTCCTATTGTTTCACACTGTGAATGTGGTGTAGTGCTTCCAATCATCCAGACATTTCTGTGATCCCTTAGCTGAGATCTGAGTCCTGGACTCAAAGTCTAGAGTTATAATCCAGTGCTGCTATTAGCTATTTCTGCACACCTGAGATCAAATTCACATTCACTGCTACTAGCTGCTAAAAATGACAGACTGGCACTTGTGATGAATGCAACAGAGCTGGAGGAGCACCAATAACGAGCATGTTAAAGGCTGACTAAGGCAAGTCTGCTTAGTGAGTGTTTAGGGGTGCTGCTAGGAGTCATTTTCCTAAATAAATTCTTTCACAGTTTACCAAGGCTAAAATAATTACATTCGTTTTCAGCTATTTATGTGTGCAATATTATCTCAAAATAACTTAAAAAACATGATTTTGTTGTGCATGGTCATGGCTGCTTCTTTGAGCAAATGTGCACAGCAATATAGGCTATATAAATTCAGTCCGCATTCACATTCACAGCTGTGTCTTTCCAGACACCCATCCAGGTGGCCTGTTGTAGTCCCCCCAACCCCCCAGAATTCCTAGTGACAGCCCTGGGTGTACAGTACATTACAGGCAAGGCCTAGTTTCCAGCCAGTCTCATGTTTTAGCTGTGAGTGGGTTGACACTCGCCAAGGTGTATGCGAATCACGCCTTGCTTGTGAAGTTTCAATAAATGTTCAAATTCGGTTGGCATCGAATGTGCGTTCTTCTTGCTCTCTCGATCATCATAGTAATGGTTGGTGATCGGCTGACTGTCATATGGATGTTTACTGAAAGGCCAAAAACCATACAAATGGACATTTGAACAGATTTCTAGTGCTAAGCTGGCCACGATGAGTCCTGTGCTGGGTCGAACTGAGTTAAGGCCTTGCTCACGCCAAAACTTTGACAACCTCCTCAAGTATTCCGGATTCAGGAAAACGGGCAGAGGGCTGTTGCTGCCAAAGTCCTCCAGTGTGTAAAAGGCACGCAAGGATACAGGTGTGTTGTGACCGTAGGAGAAGGCTGGCAACAGCAATAAGGCTTGTCCATAAGGACGAAGGCTTTCCACAAATGGACGACGGCGCTCCATCAGTCCACTGTACCTGTAAAAGAAGAGGTGGAGAAAGAAAAGCCTGAATATTCCTCTCAATGATTCCAGATCATTAACAATGTGTGTAGTACTTATGTTTAGTAAGGAATAAATATCTTTAAAAAAAGAAATGCAATTCCATTGCCAAAGATAATATCAATAATAAATACATTAAAACTATTCTTGCAAGTTGTGTTTACAGAAACTTTTTAAAGACTTTTCTCAGACCTTTTAGAGGTGGTATAAATGCAGTCTGATAATTGGCCTTAACTACATACTAAACAACAACACCGTATTTATAATTTCATAATATAAGCTATATTTATAACTTTTCATAATTTTTTTTCAGGAAATTTGTTAAAGGTTAAAGCCGGTATGAGAAATAAAGAAACATTTTCAATCAGTTTATTAAAATGATTACATTTGAAGTATTTCAAGTGTTTTATGATCATTTAATAACTTCAAAAGTTATGACTCAAAAGCAATATTTTTCTGATAAGTAAAAACATTTGCAATCATGCGCGAATTTGTGTGTTTGGGGGGATGACAAACCCTCGAGCTAAGATGATTTTTAATTTTATATTGCCTACGTTTTTCTGCTGATTTTATATCAATGGATGCGATTTTGGAATTCAGTGATTATAATCGGTTAGCCCGTCGAGGCGCTGCTGGACAGTTTGAAAATTATAATGTTGGCAGTTACCTAGCAAATTATCTACTATAAAATGTTGAAAAACTACTTTTAATGTGATTAACATTCATGCATTGATATTCATAAAATACTACTGACAAAGAGAATATGTGTAGGCCTATATTCAGCTACACGTTGTCATATGAACAACCAGTCAGTAGCGACATGTTCTCACAGCTGTAAGCCACTAATTTCGATGGGGAAAAGTGTCCTAATTAATCTAAATTCACTTCTATATGTTTGATTCAATTAACAGAACCGACTCATTTGAGTCATTCGGTCGGTAATTGGACTACACTGTTCGTGCTATACGTTTTCAATTCACTAGCTGCTCATTAGAGTCATTATTGTTCTGTAATCAATGGCTGGTGGAGCTTTAGGTTTTGATTCACTGTAAAGAACCGGCTCATAAAAGTCGGTGATGATGCGCCGCCACGGAGTACGAGAAGAGCAAGTACACTGTCCGTCCGCATCGGAGAAAAATACACGTGCGACAAACCGTATCTGATATATCGCCCAGTACCCAGAATCACAGTAATTCATCTGTCCACATAACAAATTGCATAGAAAAATGATGCGTGGAAACCCCTTCTTTGAGTGAGTTTAAATCACGGATTGATAATCGTTCATCCTGTTCATGATAGGCACTGCTGCATTTATAGCAGCAAGAAATCTGATTCTTTGTCTAAACAGAATGACATTTTATTTGTCACTACAGCCAATCACAGACTTACTTCTCATGGAGGATGCTGGGATTTGCAGTGACCAGGTTGGTTTTGTTGCCCACATCTTTCTCATATCCCTTATCCAGTGGCGGAAGGTTACATCTGAAATGTAGGGGTGGACAGAGATTGATTAGGCCAGCATTAGGCATTGTTGCTGATAGGAAATAGAATGAGAGAAGTGCCATTATGCCCTATATTAAGGCTTGTACCTACATTTAGTAGCATAAAAAAACATGGATAATTATCGTGCCACCAATATTATTCTAATCATTTTGACATTAATCTAGCCAATAGGTAAAATGGGTTGATCTGATACAGACCGAATGACAAACTGGGCTGAATTTATTTCTTCTCCACAGCTGCTGTTGGCCAGAATACCTCCATTCCCCACCACGGCACATGACTCCCATGTTGCATTTCCAAAGGGCTGCTCCTACAACACACACACACTGTAACTCCAAATTCATTAGACAAACCATACAGTAATTCACCCCAAATTTTAATGCTGGTACGCTACCTTAGCCAAAATGTTGAACAGGGCTTGTGTCACATGTAGCGGCTTTCTCCTCTCTCCATCATAAATAACATTTGACCCGAGTGGGGTGTTATTCTGTGTGACCACAGCCTTTGACACAGCATGGCATTTGCTACTCAGTAATGACCTGGAAGGAAACAGACGCTCAGTCTGATGTGTTGCAGTTATGTGAAAATCTAACAAATAGAAAAAAAGAAGCCATAGAGTATATAGGCCAGAAAATCCCAATATGTTTTTGTGTAATAAAGACATAAAATCTAACCTCAAAGGAACAGATCTTTTGATAATAGTTTTCATTTTTGGGCGAATTAAGTAAGCATTTCTACAGGGTATTTGTCTGGTTTATATGAATCCATAATCAACAGAACAGTACTTTTATTCTTATCCAGCAAAGCTTTGCCACAGATGTCTCAGTTTAACCTAATAAAGAGAACATCCCATGGTCCGCTTTGGGCTACTGTTTTACCTGAATCTTTTCAAGTTTGCCTCGTGTTTTTTCCATTTGTCTGAGTAGTTTTCCAGTGCCTTGGCAATTAATACACTGTCTCTGAAAGAATTAAACGCATACAAACAGAAATGACATACTGTGGTGATTCACAAACATATGCTTTATGAGAAACATAAAATGATTTTATTTTGTATTTTAAAATGAATTTTTTTTTTTTTTTTAAATGTATCTCAAAATGTGTCCGATTTAATTGTTTAATTCTATAAGAGAAATGACTGAAATGTAAACATGAACAATGAAATAAGAGACAAAAAAACTGATATCATTATATTACTTCTAATATGAATTAAATGAAAATACGAAGGTAACATAAAATGAAAAAAGTACAGGTGTTATATGCTGTGAAGTGTTATCTAAGCAAGTTTGCACCTTTGCATACTTACTTGCATCCTTTGCAAGATTGTGTTTCTGGTCTTTTTTGAGGAATCCTAGATGAGGGATGTGGGATTACATTACTGTAGAGAGAAAGAGATTGAAAATGTTAACAAAACAAAATTGATCGCTCATAAATAAGGGTTCAAATATTGTTGCAGAGGCAAAATCTCATTAATAGTAGAAAATTAACAAACAAACCCATTCTAATATTCAAGTGGCAATTCAAAGTGTTGTTGCAGAAGAATAAACACTAAATGTCACTCATAATTGAGATCACAGGAATACATTTACATGTAGGAATGCCTGCAGCTCACATAGCAGGAGAAAAAAAGATCAGCAACTATTGGTTTTATTGGGAGAACATTAACAACAGTCAGTTCCTGTGTCCTCGAATATGAATGGCTGATGACTAATATTTTGTGTGCTGCAGACAGCCTCTCTCTGTCTCACAATATATTTGTCCCTCTATCTCCTTATCTTTCTTTTCACTTTCTGTCCCTTCCTTACTTTCTGTTACACCATATCCATATCACTACCTGCTACCCTTGCACACTATTTAAAAAAGAAAATTCCTCTGAGCAGATCACATATCGAACCTTCAATATATCTAAACACAAACAGCCTTGTTGAAAAGAATCTTAAAATTATCTTCATACTACTGAAAAACTACTGTGAGATGTTGGGGGCCACAGGTGACCTTTGACCTTTCAAATTCAGAGTCTATTTGTAGGTTTACTCTTTATGAGGCCTATGTAGCAATTTAGCATTATAAAGTTTCAGATGTGATTCGCCAAAAGCAACTTTTATTATACTTATCTTCATGTAACAATTAAAGACTTAAGTTTGTTTCCTGTCATTTGGCATGTAAATAACAGAAGCCTAATCCACATTACCTATGGTGGAACACCCAGTGATTCTGTGCCGCAGTGAAGTTCTCAGAGAGTTTAATCTCCCACATGCCTTGTTGTGATTAAAGGATGCTGTTGCCAGTGTAACAGCACATAATAAGGGAATGGTCACAGCCATGACAGAAGAAAAAACAACAACATTACCTTATACTGTGATCCAACTCACAGTATCTAAATTTCATCAACAAGTCAACTTCAGAATGCTCTAGTCTAACAAAATGTGTGTTTAACAGGCTTATTGTGTTCCAGCTGACTTGAGAGCGAGAATGTAAACTGAAGGAGGAATGCAAATACTATTTGCGGTTTATTTTATAATTCCGTACAAAATAAAACACTAATTATAATGGCATATATGTAAAACTTTGTCCTATAATTGTATAGCTGCTTATATTTTCTGTTTTTTATGTTGCTCTATTCTGAATACCTTAACATTTAAAGGTTTTGCTGCAACGCAATTTTGTCTGATATGTGAATTATTTATTAGCCTATTTTTTATCCATGCAGCAAATGCTTTAAAAACAGCTTTAAAAATGACTTTATTGCATTCCAGACGCTTTTAACCCCTTAGCATTCCTGTAAAATTAGCCTAAAACGCCTAAAAAGGCATAACCAAAGTAAATTGCATGCTGTTCTTTAACCATTTGGAGTATATGCATGGTTTTGTCTCTTTTGAAAGGTGTCACTCTGTGGTTTGTTCCTAAACAGAACAGAATAGAACATTGAACACACTGAAAAAGGAAAAAAAAAACATTCCGCTTACATTTTTTTTGTAAACAGATGCCAGGGCCATCGCAAGGGGGGTGAGAGGCCCTGCGCGAAGTTGACGTGTGAGGCCCTCTGCAATTTGTGTGTGTGTGTGGGGAGGTGGGGTTTGCTATAGTAACGAACGTGTATGGGATGGCATATCTCAGAATAGTTCTGCACCTTGTATTCCAGTGGCAGACGACTACACGTCTATGTTGAGAACAGCTTGGAAGAAACCGTCTCAAAAGCCTCAATTTAATGCAGGCTGTAGACGGTTGCCCAGTGCCCGTTATCCTACAGAAACTGGATTGGGGATATGCCACCAGTAGAACGAGTGATCGCTGCATGGACTGCCTTAGGCCCCATCCGTGCTTCCAATAACCCTCGTTGTCCCAGGAAGGAGTGTGCCAAAACTGACCGTCTGGTTTCACGGTCCTTTAATGCTGCTGCACGTGCAGCCCGTACAGGCAATGCTTTGGCTATCCTGCTAGCAGCTTTGCGAAAAACAATAAGCGCGGATGACCAAGATTCTAGGAACCTTGTTGATTCCGCTTTGGCTGCCCACTCTCAACTGACACGTGATGTGGGGGAGGTAATGTCTTCGGCTATTTTATGTCGTAGACAAATATGGCTGGCACAAACCACTTTGCCTGACGCCATAAGAGGTGAGCTAATGAATTTGCCAGTGATGCCTGGTCAGGTCTTTCATTCAGACTCTCAAGAAGTGCTGGATAGGGCAGAGCGCTCTATCACAATGAGGGAAACTGTTCAGCGAGCCTGTCATAAACCTCCCACAGCCTCCAGGCAGAAGTATAAAGAATCCCAGGGGATGCAACAACCTGCTTGGTCTAGGCGCACGGGTAGTAATCCAGCTGTCCAAATAGAAGCAGAAAATCGTGCTATACGCACTTACATGAGATCGGGTTAGCCTACAACAATGAATTTGTTGGCTATTTTCACAAATGGGAATACAATTAATTCATGACAATGTTTTACATTCAAGCTACCCGTAAAATTTATAGTGAAAAGTACTTTAATATTAATACTGAACTGAAGCTTTCTGATATCAATGCAATCAATAAATGAAACGTAAGATGTTGCCAGTTGTTTTTGTATAAAACAAGAGAAACAGCATTGCCATGGGCGGCAGTGAATATATCTGACTACTAAATACTGCGACTGACCGATCATAATTATGTTTTATAGAGAGCCATGTAATAAATGCCATTTAGTTGTTAATTTAATTATCATGGTTCATTTGAAGATGCTTGTTATTCATAATAGAATTGACTATGTTTCAGTCAGTAAATGTTTTGTCATGTGAAATGCAAAACGATATTGCACTATATTAAATATATTAAATGAAACTTTTGTCTAGCTAAAGTTAATGTTCAAGTTTAATGATTTTATAAGCCTTTAATTTAAGAGATCAGTGTTCAGACATGCAAATGAAACTTTCAATTATTTTCTAAAGTGAAATGTTCTACGGAACTTTACTGAAACGAACATCTAAAGTCCAACTTTTAGACCTTTCCAGCATTCTAAAACATTGAACCATTTTTCCAAAAGTATCATCTTGCTTTGCTTTCATGACCCCTTTGTAACAATGTAATATAATCTTTTGCTAATCAAATGTCTCCACGTATCTGACAGTACAAAGATTAAAGAGGCCTTTACTTACTAAAAAATGATTGGTAACTAACTTGACCCGAAAAAAGACTTAATTTCAGTCTAGGTGGCCAGAAGACCCTATCGATATTTAGCACTCAGGTCTTTTAAAGTTCAGTCTCCAAATAGAAGGCTATAAGACACACACTCAGGCTTAAATTAATACACTCACTTGTTAGAGAGGAATATCCAGAAGGCCACACTGCAGAAGGAACACAGAAAGATGACAGGAAGGAGCCAGAGCATAAGAGTCCTCATAACGTGCATCCACTATCACACACGAGCTTCGGCGCACACATAGCCGCTGACATGCATGTGCTCTCATATACTCATTTGTAGATGTTGCCACTGCGAATGACTTCCTCTCTTGCTCTGCCGTCCTTCTCCTTATTTTATCACTGTGTCTGTTTCTTGACAACTGCACCCTTTTCTTTACTCACTCTCTTTCTCTCAGACTGTTAATCTCCTCACCCTCCCTCTCTCCTCTTTATTTAACTGCCACTAGCTCTCTTTCTCTTCTTTTCTCTACTGACAGGCCTGGCTTTTTATCGCTTCTCTGCTGCTTTGCTCTTCCCTTAATCTATCAGTCCACTTTCTTCTCATGTCTTCTTGTCTCGCACAAGAATGAATTCCTCCACTCCTTTCTTGTCCGCTATGTTTCTTTAAGGCATATTTGTTATTTTTCCATGCTTCTCAACCTCATCCTTTCTGTACTTTCTTGTCTTATGAACTGCTCATACTTTCCTTCCGTCCGGTTCCCTAGAAATCTCAGGCTGTTGCGTCTGCATTCTTAACCCCCTCCCCCTCTCGCTCCCCCTCGGCACAACTTGTTTGCCCCTCCCTTCCTATCTCACTCACACACAGAGTCACACACTCTTTTTCATTCTCTCTCTCAGGGTAATACGAGTGCCGAGTACAGAATTAGCCCATGGCAGCACCTCATGACTGGGAGGAAGGGTTATGTGTGCTAGAGAAGGGTTTCCCCCTTCATTTCAGCCAATGATGGTCAAAGAATCCAAAGGGCAACGGCCAATCAAATGCTCATCTGATGCTCATCTCCTTCCCTCCATCACTCTATTCTTGAGTTGTATGCTTGAACTGGAGGAAGAGCTTGTGACACACTGTGAGACATTTTGTGTAGTTTGCGTGTGATCCTGACTTATGGTAAAATGTTAAAGAAAACAGAAATTACTGTACTGCACATTCATTGAACTGCACCATATTTTACTGATGTAGAGTAGTTGATATTTTAAGCAGTGTGACATGATAAACTTCATCTAAGAGTGTATAAAACTCAAGAGAGTGTATAAAAAGAGTGGTAAACAGTTCAGTTACCATTTACCACATTCAGACCACAGAAAATCTGTCACTTTAAAAAATAGCCTAGTAAAAGCCAACTGTTGCATCAC